CCACCATTAAATTTCATTTTGTTAGATAGCGTCCAGTGTTCAAGTCTGTCCAGATACTCCTGTATCTTAAGCCTACCTTCTGGAGTATTGGCTATTCCTGCCAGCTTGGTGTCGTCTGAAAATTTGATGAGTTCCCCATCTATCCCCTCGTTCAAATCATTGATGAAGATGTTGAAGAGCACTGGGCCCAGAACAGAGCCTTGGGGCACCCCACTACACACTTCCCTCCAAGTAGATGTGGTTCTATTGAGGACCACACACTGAGTACTGCCGGTCAGCCAGCTACGGATCCATCTGGTGGTGATGCTGTCTAACCCACATTTTTCTATCTTACCAAGTAGTAGATTGTGATCTACTTTATCAAATGCCTTACTGAAGTCCAAGTAAATTATATCCACAGCATTCCTCTGATCCACTAATTTTGTCACTTGGTCAAAGAATGCAATAAGATTTGTCTGGCATGATCTGTTTTTGACAAACCATGTTGGCTTTCCTCTAAGTGTTCGCTGATTCATTGTTTGATTATCTTTTCCAAAATCTTCCCAAGTATTGAGATCAGGCTGATAGGTCTGTAATTTCCTGGGTTTATTTTTTTTTCCTGTTTTGAAGATGGGAACTACATCAAAGAGAGAAGCAATGTAGCACTAAGGAGAAATTTCCTGACAATTAGAACAATTAATCAGTGGAACAACCTGCCTACAGAAGTTGTGAGTGGTCAACATTGGAAGTTTTTAAGAAGAGACTGGATGACCATTTGTCTGAAATGGTGTAGGGTTTCCTACCTGAGCAGGACCTTGCCTAGAAGACAGAAGAAACCTACTTTACGATTCTTCCTCTGATATAGAGATGTAGATATGTGTGGTTGGTTTCAATTAGTCTCTAAAAGTTGATCAACCTAATATTCTGAAGTTTAGTTGTGATGCCCATGGGAGGTTTCTTTCCTTTTTCTCTACTGATTTCCTTCGTAATGGAAAGCAGATTAATGAATGGCAATAGGATATTAGCCATCTCAGTGAACAATATATTATAGAATCTTTAGAATTAACAGAATAACAGAATAGAATAATAACAGAGTTGGAAGGGATCTTGGAAGTCTTCTAATCCAACACCCTGCTCAGGCAGGAAACCCTATACCATTTGTCATGGCCCCCTCAGAGGCTGGTTCAGAGGATGAGGAGGAAAAGTTGGAGCTGGGACTGTCCAACAGAGAAGGCAGCCAGGGACTGAAGAAGATGCTGTCCTGGGCCCCTCAGGCTTTGGGAGAAGTGGTTTGACCAGACAGAGAGCTACCTGCTTGCACAGACACAGGAGAGGATCAGCTGCTCACTGGCAATGGTGCTGATAGGCAGCCAATCTCCTCTGCTGAGGAACAGCTGCCTACTCCACTCAATCCAAGGGCAAGGAGAGTGGAGCATAGACAAGCTCAGAGAAGGGCTGCAAGGCTGCTTGGGAGGAGGTCACCCCACCTCTCCTCACAAAGAACACCTGGAGGGGAGTAACTTAAGGAGAAGCTGTGGGGAGTTAGTCTTTGCCAGGAACAATTGTTTCCTTTGGGTTACACTCCCCCAACTTTTACTTGTGCCTGTTTGCCTTCCCTTGCTTGCTCTTCGCATTTTGTTTTGGGCCTTGCCCTTCTCTGGTAGCCTATGTTTGGCCTTTGCTTCACTGGAGCTTTGAAACTACTTCTTTTCTGGGACCTGTTTCTTGTCCTGAGGACTGCACTTGTTTTGTGCCTGGACTTTGCCTGGTGGATTGGACTTGGAACCCTGGACCTTGCCTTGTGAGTGTGGTCCTACTCTGTGGGCCTTCTTTGTACTATTGGGGCTGTGTTTGGGAGTCTGATTGTTGGAGAGCCATTGGCAGGAACATTTGTTAAGAGAAATAAAGAACTCTCTGGAGGCTTGCCTTGCCTTGATCACTTGGGTCATAACATCATTTCAGACAAATGGTTGTCCAATCTCTTCTTAAAAACCTCCAGTGTTGGAGCACCAACAACTTCTGAAGGCAAGTCATTCCACTGATTAATTGTTCTGTCAGAAAATTTCTCCTTATTTCTAAGTTACTTAGTGATATATTCTTTGATGATTTGGCTGAAATACTTCAAAATGTTAAATCAAATTCATGATTACTTCTTTTAAAACAGTTTAATAATAGATGTACCATGTTTCCCTGAAAATAAATCCTAGCTTGATTTTTATGCATGCATAATATAAGCCCTACTCCCCCCCCCAAAATACCCTTAGTTAAGACCCTGCCTACTCCATCCCACTGTCTGGTTGCATGAGGTGGGGCAAGGCAGGTGGCATAGGGGTGGAGCGGCCCAATGCGCCCCACACCCGCTTACCTCCAGACTCCCACAGCCAGGCCTCCAACACCCTGCCATCTGCCTCACCTCTTAGAAATCCAGGGCTAAACAGTACAGAGGCACAGGGGAAGATGGAGCAAAGCTAGTTCACCAGATTTATTTTAAAAAAGGTGGGTGGTGATTCCCTTTCTTCTGCATGGGAACTCACAGAGCCACGGCTTGGGTTATGTCAGCAGGCCAAGTGTGGTGCTCCAGCCCTTTGTATACAAACCACACCTGCAGACTCCTGAAGTGGCCCTCCATCTTCCTACTTACAGCCAGTGGCCACTGGGTTTTCTTCCGTCCTTCCTTCACCCGGGCCAGCATGAGTTGCTGCATGTGCTAGAGAGAGCAGCGTCTCAGGCTATGGGTGTTACTTGGCAGCTGGGCCTGTTTACTATTTGCCCTGCCTGCCTGTCACTCCCTTAACACACCCACAGCTGCCCTGTGAAGCAGCTTCAAAGTCACCCTACAAATTTCAGGCTGTGTGGGGACTGAATCTGAGTTTTGCTCCTAAACTAACATCTCCCATGCCTTGATCTCTTGGGAGGCCACCACACTGTTGGCCTCCTTCCTCTCCCCTCCCCCAACCAAAAAATCAGCATGCACCTGCTTACCTTGGTGACAATGGCTAAGATTGACATCATGGCTGGGCTCCAGGTTCCTGGTGGAGAAGCTAAGCAGGGCCTTGAGGCAATAGTGGCTGCACTGGCTCCACACCTGTTGCCTACTGTGCTTCTCCAAGAGGATGCACCTGGAGACACACTTTGCTCAGATTGGCTTTAGCAGGCAGCTAAAGGGAGTGGCAGCCAAGAAGACAATTTATAGACATTGGGGATGATGCTGGTGTTGAGAAGAAAGATGAGGCACTGGAAGGGGCCCCACTTGCCCATGAAGGGAGGTAGCCTCATCATAGTGAAACATAACTGACAGGCAGGTAGGGCGAATGCAGAATGGGGAGGGGGAGAGATAGCCTCCCAAGATATCAAGATCAACAGGGCATGGAAGATGTTAGCTTAGGAGTGAACAGTCCCTGCACAGCCCAACATTTGTAGGTTGACTTTGAAACTGATTTACAGGGCAGATGTGGGTGTGTTAAGGGGGTGACAGGAGGCAGGGTAAATGGTTAAGGGGCCCGTCTGCCAAGGAACAGCCTGGCCTGAGACACCGCTCTCTCTAGCACATGCAGCAACTCCTGCTGGCCCGGGTGAAGGAAGGACAGAAGAAAATCTAGCTGGCTGTAAGTGAGAAGAAGCAGGGGCTGCTTCAGGAGGCTGCCTGTGGGTTTGATTTGTATACAAAGGGCTGGAGTGCTGCACTTGGCCTGCCAACAAAACCTGAGCCATTACTCTGCAAGTTCCCGCATGGAAGAAAGGGAATCACTGCCCGCCTTTGTTTTTTTTAATAAGTCTGGTGAACCAACTTTGCCCTATCTGCTGCTGTACCTCTGTACTGTTTATGTTGAGTCCGTGGCGGGAAAACAGACACGAGAAGCAGCTGGAGTTCTCAGTTTCATTTATTCAGCGTTCAGCTTACAGGAAGATGGCTTCAGCCTCGCCCAAACGCCTCGCAGCCTCTTATATAGGCAACTCCCGGGTAAATGGGTTACTTTTTCCCGCGCCAGCACCCGCGCATGCGCACGGCGCTGGCGACAGCCTGTCTGGTCCCGGGCAGCTTTGCACCTGCCCGGGACTGCCTGCAAACGCCCGAGCCGTTTGCAAAGGCTCGGGACATAACACCCCTTTCCCCCGGGCTAAAACTACTACCAACATACAACATTTATTTTATATGACATTTTGCTCCCCAGTGCTCCCACTGATTACTGGCTTTTGCCTTGCCAGCAATGTTATGTAATCTTCTAGGTACTTAGGAGATTTCTTTGCTCTCTGTGACCTTCTTAGCTCTGGGTTACTGGCATAAGTCCCCTGACTGGAGGGAGGCGTGAGCCTGTTCTCTCTATTGTGCCCTGGTGTCTTCCAAGGACTGTGCCCCGATGCCTGGCCTGCTTGCTTGCCCACCGGGCTCGTCAGGCCAGGGCTTCTGTTACTTTGTGACCTGGTTGACCTACCTAGCTGTAGACCCTCAGGCCCCTTGAAGTGATAGCCGCTGCTGGGCGTCTCTGTAGAACCTCCTAGGTCAGTCCAAGACCTGTCAGGAGGCTGTCCATTCCCTGAACCCCATTCTGTGTTCGGGCTCGTGTGGGTTTCTGTACTTTCCCAAAACTCAGGTGTTCCCTGATTTGTGCTAGGGTTGTTGTAGTCGGGACTTGGTTCCTCGACTAGCTCTGTGTATGTTTGACCCCCTGTAGGATTTGGGGTAAGGTCAGGCCAACCTTGGGAATTGTGTGCCAGCTCTCTTGCGGGGAATGATTTGTTGGGATGCCCCCGGGTATCCTCCGTTGCTGGAGTGCTGTGTGATGTGTGTGGAAAGTGAGTATGCCCCCGGGGTGACTCCCTGGCTGGAGTAGGCGTGAGTGCCTGTTGTGTGGATAAGCTCTTTTTCTTTTCGGAGCAATTGCAGAACCTTGGGACGAGCCGTTTGTGGCTCCCTCAGTGGAGATGGGCAGTAGCTCTTGCCCTTCCCTTTGCTCCAAAGGGTCCCCCTCCCCCCCTGGAAAAGACCCAGGAGTCTCAGCAGAAAAGTCTCGCCTAGAGCGAAGTTGGTCGATGTGCCGACGCAGGACACGACCGTTGTCCAGGGCAACCTCGTAGGAGAGAGGACCTGTGATCCTGGACACAGAAGCGGGGACCCATGTATGACCAGGCCCGTAATTGCGAGCCCAAACCGGGGCACCCACAAGTAGTTGTCTAGGTGCCCTAGGATGTGAGGTAGATGAAGGCAGTCTGTCCGGATGCAACCGGTCAAGTCTAGTAGTAAGTTGGCGCCCCCAACGAAGTTCAGCTGGACTTCTCCCTGTAGAAGTGGACGGTGTGGTGCGATAAGAAAGGAGAAAGTCAGCCAACCTGTGATGCCAGTCCCCGTAGGTGAGTCTCTTCAAGGCGTCCTTTGCGATGCGCACCATGCGTTCAGCCATACCGTTGGTGGACGGGTGAAAAGGCGCAGACGTGGCATGACGAATCAGGTTTGCCTGTAAGAAAGCTTGGAATTCGGAGGAGGTGAATTGAGGGCCGTTGTCGGACACAATGACATCTGGCAGCCCGTGTGCAGCAAAAATCCCCCTCAGTACCTGAATAGTCTTTGCAGTGGTGGTGGATGAGACAGGCACAACCTCAAGCCATTTTGAATGGCTGTCAACAAGGACCAAGAAGAACTGGCCCTGAAAGGGCCCAGCGTAGTCAATGTGCACCCTAGACCATGGGGACTGTGTTTCCTCCCATCTATGCACAGGAGCTTGGGGCATCTCTGGGCGAGATCGTTGGCACAGGTGGCATGCGTGTACCTTAGCCTCAATATCTTTATCTAAAGCAGGCCACCACAAGTGGCTGCGTGCAAGAGCCTTCATACGAACAATGCCAGGATGACCCTCGTGGAGGGATTCTAAGACCCTAGTCCTCATTGAGGTGGGAATGACAACTCTGTTTCCCCAAAGCAGACAACCCTGAGAAAGGGACAGTTCGTTTCTTTTGGACCAGAAACTCTGAAACTCAGGACTAGGGCAGTGCTCAGGCCACCCGGACAGGACCCAGGAGCGGACACGTGAAAGTGTGTGATCTGTACCTGTTTCAGCGGTAACATCCCTGGCACTAAGAGGGAGCTCGGGCAAGGCTTGGATTGATAGAATGTTGACAGCTGGCGCGGGGTCAGCTTCTACTACTGGCAGAGGCAATCTACTGAGGCCATCAGCATGGCCCATTTCTTTCCCAGGCTTGTGGAGTAATGAAAAATCATATGCAGACAAGAAAATAGACCACCTAAGCATTCTAGGGGAAATGATGTGGGGAGTCTGCTTACATGTGGTAAACAGTCCCAGCAGAGGCTTATGGTCAGTGAAGACCGTGAAATGCCTGCCATATAGAAAATCGTGGAATTTTTTAATTCCAGCAACAACAGCCAGAGCCTCCCTGTCTATCTGAGCGTAGTTGCGCTCGGCAGAAGACAGTGTTCTGGAGTAGTATGCAATAGGAACCTGAGTTCCATCAGACCTGAGGTGACTCAGGACAGCTCCAACCCCGTAGGGGGACGCATCACAAGCGATGCACACAGGGAGAGACTCGTTGAAATGTGCAAGAACACTGTTAGAAGTGAGCAAGGCCTTGACTTCTTTAAAGCAAGCCTCATGTGCTTGTGACCACAGCCACACAGCATGTTTGTCTAGTAGCCTGTGAAGAGGCTCAGCTACACTAGCTTTATGTGGAAGAAAAGAATTGTAGAAATTCAGGAGGCCTAGGAAGGCCTGAAGTTCGGCCTTAGACTTTGGCCTGGGTGCTTCTAAAATAGCAGTTAGTTTGGATTCAGCAGGATGAATCCCAGCAGCATCAATTTTGAATCCCAGAAATTCAGTAGAAGGCACCCCAATCTGGCATTTGTCTTTTCTGAGCTTGAGGCCTGATTTCCTGAATCTTAACAGGACAGCCCTAAGCCTTTCAGCTAGAATGTGTGTGGAGTCTCCTGCAATCAAGACATCGTCAAAGTAGGGGCAGACCCCTGGTATACCTCGTAGTGTGTTTTCCATAACGCTTTGGAAAATCCCAGGAGCGACATTCACTCCAAACTGTAGCCTTTTTACTTTAAAGGCACCCCTGTGGGTCACAATGGTCTGAGCTATGGCAGCATCATCATCAACAGGCAGCTGTTGATATGCTTGAGCTAGGTCAAGCTTTGCAAAAACACGCCCCCCCTTGAGAGAGGCCAGGATGTGACTGACCACAGGAACAGGATAGGCATGTTGCTGCAATGCCTTATTGAGTGTGCATTTGTAATCAGCACAAATGCGAATGTCCCCATTTGCCTTTAGAGGCGTGACAATGGGGGTCTCCCACGGGCTGGAATCAACAGGTTCTAGGATTCCCTGTTGGATTAGTTTGTCTAGTTCAGTGTCAATCTTACTTTTTAAAGCAAAAGGGACCCTTCTTGCTTTAATCCTAATGGGAGTGACAGTGGGGTCTAGCTTTAAGGACACAGGTGGTCCTTTGAATGTGCCCAGCTGGGGGCTGAAAACATCTGCAAATTCTTTGCAGACTTCCTGTAGGTCGAGTGTTTGTAAGCTATTGAGTCCTGTGACGTGTATCCCCAGGGCCTCAAACCAATCGAGTCCTATGAGACTCGTTCGTTCACCCCCTACTACTAATAAGTCTAGTGGACCTTCAAAACTCTTGTATTGCACGTTAAGGGTGGCCTCCCCCTTAACACACACTCTTGAGTTCTGAAAATCTGTTAATACAATATCAGAAGGCCTTAACTTGGCCTTAGACCCACTTCTGGAACAAATCTTCCTAAATGTATGCAATGAAATGATGGACAGGGCAGACCCTGTGTCTAGTTCCATAGATAATGGAACCCCTTGTAGCTTCACGTTGAGTGACAGCTTTTTCTTCATGGGCTTGTGTGTGCCTGTTCTACAGATGCTTCTTCGCGAAGCGCAAAAACCTACCCTATTCTGGCTGGGGAATCTGGTACCCTTCAGGCGTTCTTCTTGGGGTTGTGCCTTTCGTCGGCCCAGGCACACAGCTGCAATGTGCCCTTGTTTACCGCATGCCCGGCAGGTAGCGGAGCGGAACTTGCAGTCGGTTCTCCTGTGGCGACCTCCACAGCCGATGCACTTGAGCGGAGCCGAAGAGCTTCCCTTCTGGTTCTCTTCCCTCGCGGGGTGTAGACGGTCGACTTCCTCATCCGGATCCTCCTCGGAGTTTCGTCGGACGTCTTCCTGGTGCACGGACGCACCCTCTGCACTGTTTCTGATCGGCCGCATATTTTTGACGGCGCCGCCTGCTGCTTCTTCTGCGGTGACTTCCCTTAAGGCGTCTTGGAAGGATAATTCTTCCTTTGCGAAAAGTCTCTTTTGTAGCTCTCGATGCCTTAACCCGCACACGAATCGGTCCCTCAGTCGTTCCTCGAGGTCCTTGAACTCGCAGGGCTTGGCGGCCTTCCGTAACGCGGCGATGTATTCCTTGGCTGACTCACCGGACCGTTGATCCCTCTGTTCGAAGGTGTGGCGCCATGAGATAACGGACACCTTGGGGTTGAAGTGCTCCTTCAGCAGCTTCTTCAGGTCTGCGTAGCTTACAGACTCTACTGGGACAGGTGCTGCAAGGTTTTCTGCGATTTCGAAGGCGTCTTGGCCGCAAACGCAAAGCAGGGTGGCCGCCTTCAAGCTATCTTCCCTCACTTGGTTTGCCTTGAAGTAGTTCTCCATTCTGGATACGTAGGACTCCCACCGCTCTGGATGTGAGACGTCGAATTCCGAAAGCCTTCCGATTTTCGCCATCTTCGGATCTTCAGGAGACGGGTCTATCAGCCAGCCTACCCCCGAATGCGCACCGGATTGGCGGGCAGCTGCCGAGTCGACGCCGTTCCTCTTTCGCCGCTCAGGACTCCTTGGGTAAGCTTACACTTCTTCCTTTCCAGGTAGTGCAAGGCATCCCATCCTCGTCGCCAGTGTTGAATCCGTGGCGGGAAAACAGACACGAGAAGCAGCTGGAGTTCTCAGTTTCATTTATTCAGCGTTCAGCTTACAGGAAGATGGCTTCAGCCTCGCCCAAACGCCTCGCAGCCTCTTATATAGGCAACTCCCGGGTAAATGGGTTACTTTTCCCGCGCCAGCACCCGCGCATGCGCACGGCGCTGGCGACAGCCTGTCTGGTCCCGGGCAGCTTTGCACCTGCCCGGGACTGCCTGCAAACGCCCGAGCCGTTTGCAAGGCTCGGGACATAACAGTTTATCCCTGGATATCTAAGAAACTAGGAAGGTGGCGGAGTGTGGGAGGTTCTAAAGTAAGTGGCTGGGGGTGTGTGGGGCAGCTCCACCCACTTCTCCCTGCCTTGCCTCGTGGTGGCAGAACCTGTGCAATGTGCCATGTGGCCTCCTGCTGCAAGCAGCCATTGAAGAAGAGGGCTGATGGCATCTCAGGCTCCTGCTGGACAGGGCTGTTGGTGCCACCACCATGAGGTGAGACTGGTGTTGAGAAAAAAATATGACATCCCCTGAAAATAAGACCTAATGGAGGCAAAAAAAAATTATAAGACTGGATCTTATTTTGGGGGAAACACAGTAGTACTATAGAAAGAGATGGATGTCAAAATTTCTAAAACTACAAATGATTGACATAACAATGAGCTCAGACAGTATCACTATAAAAGCCTTAAGCTTTCTACATTTAATAAAATTCTTTGATGATATTCAGATCCAACCACATTGGACAATAGACTCTCAAACATTAGTATAACAGCACAGAGATGTTAAAACCATTTTCCTGCAATTGTATGACTTAAAGTAATAAACAGCATTCTAGGAATAACAGTTCAACCATTAATTTATGGGAAGCTGATTATTACATGCATGAAAATGGAGCTCTTGCTGTTGACATCTATATTTTAATCAAAGGAATTAACAGAATCCAGATGTTAGAGGAAAAGCATGTAGTTGTAAATAATACAATATTGTATTACAAAGATCACTGATAAACAGGATGCAAGATATAGCTTAAACTATACTGCTCACAAAAATAAAGGGAACACAAATGTATAGGATTCTATACATTTGTGTTCCCTTTATTTTTTTGAGCAGTATATATCCCTAGTGCCTTCCCTTACCTAAGACACCTGTGAACATGTAGAGGAATGGAAGTTAGACAAGCATGTTGATTTAACACTCCTAAAAAGATAATGAGCAAATTAAAAGGAAACTATCTCTGTTAAATACAAGAGGAATGTTTGCTGTTGCAGTTTAATCCTAATCTAGAAAAAAAAAATAAACTGTTTCCCAACATATCGAGTTATCCTATTCCTGTTTGAATTTCTTTGGTGTAATGATAGTTTTCTTTATGCCCTTTAGAAAGCAAAAACTAAATCATTTTAAGCTGCTTAGATATTTTTTTCAGAAGGGAAAAAGAGCATGCAAACAGTGTTCCAGTATCTGAGGGGCTGCCACAGGCAGAGGGGGACAGGTTATTCACCAGAGTACCAAAAGAAAGGACAAGAAATAATGGTTGGATCAAGGAGAGATGCAACCTGGAATTAAGGAGAAACGTCCTGACAGTGAGGACAATAAACCAATGGAACAGCTTACCCCCAGAAATTGTAGGCCCTCCATCACTGGAAGTTTTTAAAAAGAGACTGGACAATTATCTGACTGAGATGGTATAGGGGGCTGGACTAGAAGACCTCCAAGGTCCCTTTCAGCTCTATCCTATCCTATCCTATCCTATCCTATCCTATCCTATCCTATCCTATCCTATCCTATCCTATCCTATTTTAAATCTCCATTCTGCTTTCTTGAATTAATTTAATAGCAAAAGTAATAGTGATGGATGGATGGATGGATGGATGGATAGACAGATGGATGGACAGACAGATGGATAATGGATGGAATTATTTTCATTTTTCACATGCAATATAATATTAACATTCTTTGAAACATTGTCTCTTTTTAACTAAGTTTCCTTTTTTCTTTTAATATTAATAAGTTTTGATAAAATGGGATAAGTTAAACATGGAAGCATTTTTTCCAAGGAAATATTCTCTCCATGAAAAAATCATATCTGTTAAAACTATAGGATTCTTCTTCTTGAAATAAATGAGCAGGACTGTATCTCATCAGCATCATATTAGCATCAGAGTAGTTAAGATATACTTTCTAAATTCTAACTCAACATGTGTCACAGGGTCTGTTTTTCTACAGGCTTCCCAAGTACTTGCATCCTGGGAACTACACATTTATTCAGGCACCCTTATGAAAAAAAACAGATATAATTGTTTGTGGTTAAGGTGATAACCCTTTTGTTTTCTCTGTAATTCATCACAGGGCTTGTCAGGGCTGACAGCTTAGGAGAATATTTTTTTTAACACTTCTTTATCTGACAGCTCCATGCATCATAAAGCAGCGAACAGAATTAGATCAAAGTCTACCAGTCTCTGCCGCCTTAGTAAGGTACGCAATCCTGTTTGTATCTTTATCCAGGCTCTGACAGTTCATTTTAACTGGCGGGGGGGGGGGGGGGAATAATAGCGACTGGGGTTGGGTGGATGAGGAATGGGGAGAAGGAGAAATAAAGTTTCTTTTAAGCTTTTCAAGAAGTACAGTGTTTTCACATATCATTTCTCTGTAACATCTGTGATGCCCAACATACTTGGATGCAGTCTATATTTTCACATGGTACAAAAGCCAGATTATCAGAGAAAAGGCTTAATCAGCATGTGAGCCTATTTATGGACACACGCACATGCACATTCATAATCCTGACTTTTGTTTAATATTAATGGCAAAGATTGCCTGCATAGCCTTTTAACAATGGCATATGGTCCATCTGGTACCCGCCGCATTCTAAGGCTGTCAGGAAGCAACACAAGTTTTCCTGAGAAGCTGCCTAAATTTTAGTGAGTGAAAGCCAGTACTTGTTGTTAGAAAGCAGCAGGAGGAGGGAACTAAGTTCTGTCTAACACTGGCAAAGTAAGTCCCTGAAAAATGAATGTTATTCATAAACTCTATTAACAGTATTCAGGAACTTTCAATACTCTGATTTTCTACATTGAGTATTAAAGAGATTAAAGTAGCTGTGAAAGATGCTACACATGAGATTGTGTTAACCCAGGAGGGTGGGTGGGGGAAAGGGGGTATCTGAACTAAGGCTGGGAAAGAATGCATCCTATATGTGGAAAAAAGATGGAAGGGTTGTAGATGGCAAGTGAGGACTGGAGGATTTTTATATATTGCTGAGTAATGGGGATTATCATGTATTGCCTAATAATAATATCAACCTCACTAAAGGAGAGAAATATGTTGTGATGCCCATTTTGTCACTTCCCAAACCCTTGCTCCCTATTTCAATGGATGCTCATGGCTTGGGCAAAAAACTGACATTGCATTAACACAAGATATACACAAACTTGTCTTAACTCTTTGTTTGTTTATTTATTTCCCACCATTATTACTTTTACAAATAACTCAAGGCAGTGAACATATACGACATAGCTTCCTCTTCCAATTTCCCCCTCAACAACAACCTTATGATCTGGGTTGGCCTGAGAGAGAGTAACTGGCCCAAGGTCACCCAGCTGCTTTCATGGCTAAGGCACTTGAACTCACTATCTTTTGCTTTCTAGA